CGCTCACTTAAATGTTATTGTCTGGGATCCTTGCAAGGAATTGCCACCAAAATTTTGATTAGAATTTTGTCAGATGCTCTGATAAGAAAAGGAACTGACCTGAAAAAGATGAGTTACACCCATAGTTAATTTTAAATTCCTCTAGAAGTGGGAATGTGTGCTGTGTGCAGTCTGTCAGAACTTTTATTTTGTCCACTTCTAGAAGTAACAAAATGGGACTGAAAATATTGCTATGATTTATTGGAAATATTGCTGTGAACTGTTATGCATCTCATGAAAGAAGCCTTAAATATTTTAAAAATTATTCTTTCATTATAATATCAAGTTTGTTTCCAAATGCTTTTTTTTTTTTTTAACATTTAGAAGTAATTGGGAAATTTTAAAATTCCAGCTGAAGTTCCTTGCAACAGCATAGTCCTTGTAAAAGATATTTTTTGGGCCGGGTGTGGTGGCTCACGCTTGTAATCCCAGCACTTTGGGAGGCCGAGGCAAGTAGATCACGAGGTCAAGAGATCGAGACCATCCTGGTCAACATGGTGAAACCCCGTCTCTACTAAAAATACAAAAAATTAGCTGGGCATGGTGGTGCGTGCCTGTAATCCCATCTACTCAGGAGGCTGACGCAAGAGAATTGCCTGAACCCAGGAGGCAGAGGTTGTGGTGAGCTGAGATCCCACCATTGCACTCCAGCCTGGGTAACAAGAGCGAAACTCCGTCTCAGAAAAAAAAAAAGATATTTTTCAAGCGATTCTCCTGCCTCAGTCTCCCAAGTAGCTGGGATTACAGGCGAGGTTGCAGTGAGCCAGGATTACACCACTGCACTCCAGCCTGGTCACAGAGACTCCATCTCAAAAAAAATAAAAAAGGAGTAAGTTGACTAAAAATAAGTGTTTTAAAAATAAAAAGCATAATAAAACAAGTTTGTAACTTATAATTGTATACAAATAAAAGAAGTTATAAAATTAAAAAAAAATTCAAACTGCATGTTAAGGATGTATATGTGGAATATCAGGATAAAACAGAATTGCAGTTCCTAAAAAAATAAATATAGTATTATCACATGATTCAATAATTACACTTCTGGGTATATACCAAAAAGAGCTGAGGCCAAGGTCTCAAAGAAATATTTGTGCACCTATGTTCATAACAGCATTATTCGAAATAGTTAAAAGGTAGAACAACCCAGATATTCATCAGTGGATGAATAGATAAACAAAACATGGTGTATACATAAATGGAATATTGTTCTGCTTTAAACAGGAAGGAGATATGACACATGCTCCATGAATGAAGTTTTAGAACTTTATGCTAAACAAAATAAGCCAAACACAGAAGGACAAATACTATATGGTTTCACTCATATAGCTACTTAGAATAGTCAAACAATTTAATTACCTAGAGTAGTCTAATTCATAGATGCAGAAAGTAAGACTGATGGTTGCCTGGGTATGGGGGGAGGAGGGAATGAGGAGTTAGTGTTTAATGCATGTGGCATTTCAATTTGGGAAGATGAAGAACTCTGAAGATCGATGGTGCTGATGATGGTAGCACAGTGAGGTGAGTGTATGTAATACCATTGAAAAGAGTCCATGTTACGGTCTGTATATTTCACTACCATAACAAAGAATATCCTGATAAACTTTCATTTAGTATTTTGATACATCTGTTTTTAAATATAAGCCACTAAAATAATAATGAACGTATTTTTTCTATTTTTTTGAGAGAAGGAAAGAAAAAAAGGAGTGAAGGAGAGGAAGAAAGAGGAAGAAAGAGGAAGAAAAAGAGGGAGAGAGAACGGGAATGTTGCTTTATTCTAAAAAATGGGTATTAATAATGGTCAATCAATATTTCATTTAAACCTATGAATAGGTGTGTTGTGGTATTGACAAGAATGTATATTTTGTGTATTTAAAGTGGAGAGCTCTATAAATATTTATTAAGTTTACTTGTTCCGGATCTGAGTTCGAGTCCTGGATATCCTTATTAATTTTCTGTCTCATGGAGTCTAAGTCTCTGTATCTGGGTGTTAGAATTGTTAACTCTTATTGTTGCATTGATCCTTTTACCGCTATATCTTTGTTGCTTTAAAATCTATTTTATTAGATGCGAGAATTGCAACTCCTGCTTTTTATTTATTTATTTATTTTTGATCTCCATTTGATTGGTAAATCTTTCTCCATCCCTTTGTTTTGAGTCTTTATGTATCCTTGCATGTGAAATGGGTCTGGATGTAGCATACAGTTGGGTTTTGGCTGTATCTTTTGATTGGGGGATTTAGTAGATTTAAATTTAGGATTACTGCCATTTGATGTTAACTGGCTGTTTTATCCATTTGTTGATGTAAATTCTTCTTTATGTTGATGCTCTTTATTTTTTGGTATATTTTTAGAAAGGCTAATACCGGTTGTTTCTTTCTATGTGTAATGCTTCTTTCAGAAGCTCTTGTAAAGCAGGCCTGGTGGTAATAAAATCTCTGAGTACTTGCTTGTTCATAAAAGATTTTATTTTTCCTTCAGTTGTGAAGCTTAGTTTGGCTGGATATGAAATTCTGGGCTGAAAGTTCTGTTCTTTAAGGATGTTGAATATTGGCTCCCACTCTCTTCTGGCTTGTAGAGTTTCTGCTGAGAGATCTGCTGTAAGTCTGATATGCTTCCCTTTGTGGGTAACCTGACCTTTCTCTCTGGCTGCCCTTAGTATTTTCTCCTTCGTTTCAACCCTCGTGAATCTAATGACTATGTGCCTTGGGGTTGCTCTTCTTGAGGAAAATCTTTGTGGTGTTCTCTGTATTACCTGGGGTTGAATATTGTCCTGCTTTGCTAGGTTAGGAAAATTTTCCTGAATAATATCCTGAAGAATATTTTCCAGCTTGGATTCATTCTCTCCATCGCATTCAGGTACACCGATCAAACGTAAATTAGGTCATTTCACATAGTCCCACATTTCTTGGAGAACTTGTTCGTTCCTTTTTATTCTTTTTTCTCTAAGCTTGTCTTCTCATTTTATTTCATTAAGTTGGTCTTCGACCTCTGATATCCTTTCTTCTGCTTGATCAATTCGAGTGTTTAAACCTGTGCATACTTCTCGGAGTTCCCATATTGTATTCTTCAGTTCCATTAATTCACTTATATTCCTCTCTAAATTGTCTATTCTCATTAGGATTTCATCAAACCTTTTTTCAAAGTCTTAGTTTCTTTACATTGGGCTACAACATGTTCTTTTAACTCACAGAAATTTCTTATTATCCATTTTCTGAAGCCTGATTCTGTTAATGGGATGCACTCGTTCTCCATCAAGCCTTGTTCCCTTGTTGATGAGGAACTGTGATCCTCTTTAGAGGGAGAGGCGTTCTGATTTTGAGTATTCTCAGCCTTTTTACGCTGGTTTCTTCCCATCATTGTAAATTTATCCAGCTGTTGTCTTTGTAATTACGAACTTTCAAATTAGGTCTCTGAGTGGATGTCCAAGTTGTTAATTCCCAGGGCCGAAATATGAGCAACCCACTGCGCCGGCCAAAACAGCGGCATTAAGACTGATGGTGCTTTTCTGCCCAGGAATCTCCAGTCTGGCTTCCCTCTTGAGTCTGCAATAGGCGACTCTGCCTTCCCAGAGCTCCAAACGTCGGTCAGAATGGGAACCAGTCCCGTTTACTCTGCACCAAGAGCTGCCGCACCGAGGTGCTGGCAAAACCGCTGCCCTGGCCACAAGAGTCGCGCTGGCGACTCATGGGGCTCCTCCACTGGCAATCCTCTGCTCCGTGAGCGACAAAAATTTGTCTGAAAGTGTGGCACCCTCTTGTTCTCTGTGCTTTCACTGGGAGCTGCAATCCCGAGATGTTAGTGATCAGCAATCTTGGATCATTCCCAATAATGAACATTTTTATGCGGCAAACGTGCCCAGATGCTTTACCTGAAATTATCCTAGATAATTTCCCACAACAACCTTCTGAGTTAGGTATGATGATTATCCCCTTCTTTTTTCACTTGTGTAAAGTTATGCACCGAGGTGGGACAAGCAGGAATTTGAACCCAGGAGGACATCTTCTAGAAGCAGTATCTTATAATAAGACTTAATATATAGATTAAAATCAGTCATATTGCTCTGCCTATTAGGAATAAAAAAGTCCCAAATGCCAAAATTATCTTTGCAAGTTCTAATTTTCATTACAAGTTATTTTAATATGCTAGATGATATGACACACTATGGTTATGTGTATGAAAATGTTAAAAAAAAACCTGGCAATTTACATCTCTCTAAAAAATGCAATTTCTGCAAAGGCCTGAGTGTTTCAGTATAAAAATCCACATCCATTGATATGTATTTTCTTGTGCAGATGATATGTCTTGCTGAAAACTGCTTAGAGAAAAGAACACTTATTTTAGAAATGTTTAATATTGTAATTACAGTGTATGTGAGTTTTGATTTGCACTATGCATGCTTTAAACTCAGACTATTTACCTATGATATTTTATTTCAGCATGTAAAATTGAAATTTGCAACGAGTTTGTATGTATCTTTCTGAATATGTAGAATACGGCTTTATTTACTGTTACCTTGGAAATAGTGATGCTCAAATGCTAGGTTTCCTCTCTTTATTACAATTAAAATCATTTTATGGAGCAAATGTAATTTTAAATACTATTCTTAAGCATTGATTTTAGTTAATATTAATCATACAAAATATGTAATGATGTTTAATGTTAAAATTATTTGAAAAACTAAATACTGGTTTTTAATAGAAAAAATACCTTGATCAATAAGTGCTAATGGTTTTTACCTTTATAAGTTATGTATAAGTATTCTGATTATTGGAAAAGTACCACAGTTACATAATGGACAATTCTATGAAGTTAAAAATGTCATGTCTAATTTCTTTTGAAATTTTTCTTAATAATTGATGACTTTGGAGAATCTCTTTACAATTATTACTTCTTAAATAACTCCAAGATAGATTTTTCTACAATTATACATGTTGATATTCATGTTTATTCTTACATTTCCAGGATTCAACTATTGTTACTCCAATTATTTTGAGGACTGACCCTCAGGGATTTTTCTTTTACTGGACAGATCAAAATAAGGTAAGAAATGAGATACATCTTTCTTACATTTTTCAATCATTTACTGCTTTGAAAAGTATTTATGTATCTTATCGATAGAAGTACATCCATTTCACAGATCTTTTGCAGTTTTTTTAAAGAATATCTAAGGTATTCTTAGGATTTAGGACTTTTCAAAGTCACTAGTTTGAAATATTAGATTTGCTAAATTCTAGAACAATTGGTATTTTTTAGTTCTGCTTATAATTATGTGTTAGTATAAGAAAAGGGAAATTTGAATTACATTTTGTGTAGAACATAATTAGCCAGTGTTACTGATTTAAGTCCCCACCCATAAAGGATGCAGAAAAATGATGAGAAAATAACTTTGACCCCAATAGCCATACACTTGGCTTTTCTTTCTTTCTCTTTTCCCCTGTGCTGTTCATTAAGGACTCTCTCAGAATCCTGCAGGAATTTGGCCTTGATAATTTGTTCATGTCAGAAAATCAAGAATAAAATTCCTTTAGCCTATTACTGCAGTTGTCAGGAATTGCTTACTAAATTAGCTTTCTGCCCACAATACCATGAATTTAGTATCTCATTTATTATGAAACCAATTGATGATTCTGTACTGAATTATTAAAAAGTAGAATGTCTGCCGATCATAAGATTTATTTGGAGTTTAATAGGCAGTTAGACCAGAACACTTATGGAAAGTGGTTATTATTTCAGACATCATTGCCACAGTCCTATACTTGAACCTCAGAGGCCACAGAATATAGAATGTTTTTGTTCTCTAAGTTTGGATATTTGGAGAAAAGAGATAGGGATTACTAAGAATGCTAAATACATATTGAAAACAACAGAATAGTGATAGTATACCATTAAAATAGCTGGAACCTCCATAGTTACTGATGGAGGAACAAATTGTTAGCTCTTTCAAATTTCCACATTAGTTTCTTATATCCAAAGTTCCTGGAGTTGTCTGTCAGCTTTGCCTTCTGTCTCTGGGGCAAGCTCAACTATACCTGTGAGGAAGGTGGTGGAAATGGCCCTGTGCGACGGCATGGTGGGGACCATGTGGATCCTTGGAGTTCTTAGCATGCTAGATGGTAAACTCTGGTCCCAGGGCCACTCCTGAATCAGCCTGTTTATACATCATTCAAAAGGCAAATTTCAGTCTTGTCCTGGAGTTAGATGCTAAATCTGTGTGCCCTGGAACCATGTGTGGCTGTAGAAGTGGGGGTAAACCATAGACCCTATGCTAATGTCAAAAATTGTATTTGAGTAAGATTTTCTACTTCATGCTCACATTTATTACTGGGTGTGTTAATTGCTTTAGCTTAGACATTCTATTTGGTTTCCTGCTGTTATGTGTAAAACAATGACTTGCAAGAGGTTGTTTTTTGTTTTTTGTTTTTTTTTTTTCTTCTCCTAAAGGATATTTTTAGAACTGTTGAAACTATATTCATGAAATGCCTAGAGCATTTATAAAGGTTGGGTTTTTGTACAAGAGACCAAACTGTCAGTCTGATTTTTCAACTTGTAGATCAAGCTTCTATAAAAGCAACAGAAGATATTCTGGGATTTTAAATAATTCATTGCAACTCAGTTAAGCTCCCCTCTAGACCAATCATCAATATTTATTTTCTTAATAAAGAAAAGGGTTTAGGACCAAAGGTTCTTTGTTGTATCTCTATTGTGAACCCAGTATTTTGACCCATGCTTATTTTCAAATGTAGGAAAATTTGTTTTCATTTTTTATGCAAACTTTTTAATCTTGGTTGTAATGCTGTTTGTGACCAACTGAAACAGATAATGTGGTAGCAATTCCTTTTATCACTTTATTACTTTTCTTTTCATGGATATTACTCTTACAGTTCTAGCCAAGAGATAGAAATAGTAAATTTTACTTTTCACTTTCTAAATACCGAAGTCATCTCTCAGTCATTTATCAGAATTTGGAGGCTTATTTCCTAGTCAGTGATCATATATCTTAGAATCCAAAAGATGAGAGGATTTAAGAAAAAAAATAAACTTACCGTTCTTTCAAGTTTGTCATTTTCTTTCTGGCTTTAAGCCCAGTCCTGGAACCAGAACGAGTGATTCATCCACTTTAGGAGATGGACAACTGTAAGTGATGAATTAGAGTAAATGTGTGCTAGAAGAAATGGGGCGTGCAAATAAAGGATGGCACGCCAAGCCTTTAGTGGGTATTTTTGCATAAGATCATTTGAAGGTACATGGATGAATGACACAATCATGATGCTACTTAGAGGACCACTTTCTTTAAAATATTTTTTATGTGGCAGTTTGTTTTAGGAATCTGCCACATGTACCACCATAGAGATAATCTCTCAGAAAAAAAGAAATGTGATACCTTGAAGTTTATCCCTTGATTTTATACACTGTGTTTTCCTTTGGTTCAGAAGCTTGCATTGGTATTTATTGTAATATGCCTCTCTTCTCCCTTTGGGATTATTCCCAATATATTCCCTTTTTGGTCCATGAAGCTTGTACCAAAGCACTTGGATTAGCAATCATCTGAGGTCTAGTCTGCTCAGAGGTGAGCAGAAATTCCTAGCAAAAAGGATTTAACAAGACTTTAAAAAGGATTTAATGCTTTTTCTTTTTTATAGCATTGAAGGTAAATGGTCACACTGTATGGTGTTCTATGCATGTCCTCCTCTTGTTGTGGCTACATCAGATTTTGTTATCAGAGCCACTTATTTCAAGCCAATGGCTTTCCCCTTTGTAGAAAATGACATGATGCCTTCCAAACCCCTCCTTTGATTTGTCACCATAGAAATGTTAGGTAACAAAGAAGACAGCACAGACGATGGACTCAGGAATTAAAAACTAAAGCTAGCAAGTCATTTTTAGGTAACAGAAATGTGCTTTAGTGAAACACTGATAGAATGATTGGAGTTGGTGGAAACAGATAAATATGAATATTATTTTTAGGGATCAATGTTCATGCTTTGTACCAGCTCTGGACTTTTTGATAATTCTCTTCACTGCATCGTTGGCTCTGTAAATCTTATTGAATAAAATTAGCAAAAATGAGTTTGTGAATATGACTATTTTAAGCAGAGCAGTTTTCTTGTGTAGTGTAGGTGATGTGAAGAGGATGCGTTTATTTGTAAGTCATGGGTAAGAAGGGAGTCCTGCACAGCCTGAGTACTTGAGAGGCTGCCTGCATTAGGCTGTAACTTTTCTTTGGATCTATGCCATGTGCACACTAGGAACCAACACAGGAAGTATTAGCTGTGAAAACCATGTGAACTATAAGAATCTGCTCCACTGGTTTTGAAAGAAAGGCTAAAGAAGAAAAAAGGGTCAATGTTAAAAAGCTAACCAACATCTATTCTGCTAGAATATAAAATAAATTAGACTGTCACCTTGGAACTTGATGCCCTGCTTCTGTGCCAAGGTTGGTGTAAAAATAAAACTAGTCGCTGCTAGTTCAGATCCAAGAAGTTCAATATAGTTCAGTAAACCCATCCTTGTCTTCATAAAACTGGAGCTTAGGGGAAGGGAGGAGGAACACATCATTAAATTTAAAATGGAAGGGGAGGAAAAACACACGGTTTACATGAAGAACTCCTATGACTTTCTTTTTTTGTTATAAATTTTATTTATTTTTAATATTGTGGATAATATGCAAATATCCTTTTATCTGTAAAAGAGTAAAGCAGTATAACTTCTTTAAACTGGAATCTCCCGTGGATCCCAATCTTTAAACTGCGCTCTCCCGACTCCAATCCTAGTTTCTATCCAGAGTCAACTAATAGGAATAGCTTCATGATTTCTTTCTAGGTCTCTTTTAAATAAATTTGTGCATACATAACTATGGAAATATGTCATTTTGTTTTGCTTATGTTCATTTTTATACTAAGTCACATCATATTATTTTAACTATTCCACAATTTCCTTTTCACTTTGCAGTGTGTCTTAGAGAACTTTTCAAGTTAGCATGTGTGTCTATCTCGTTCTGTTAAATTGTTCTATCTTAGGGAATTTTTCATGCTAGTACATGTGTATCTATCTCATTCCTTTAAATTGCTCTATCATATGTTAAAGAATTGATTACCAAATTTTCTTTAAGAATACAAAAGTTCTCATTGATGGATTTTGGCATTTGTTTCTAATTTGGACTTACAAAGAATCCTGTAATATGGAGTAATAGTCAGCTCTGTGTAGCCCTCTCTGGGAATATGGGTCAGGGGTTCCCTAAGATAAATGCTCAGAGGTGCGATTGCTGATTCAAGGCTATCTATACCTATCCTAAATTTCAGTTAATGGCTCTACCATTTTATAACCCCACAAGTCTTACTTGAGTGGAACTGTGTTCTTCAACCCAACCAAAAGTAATAGGAAATACTTTAATTTTTGCCAAACTGATGCAAATGTTATATTGCCTTGTTTTAATCTCCAATTGCCTGATTTGCTAGCAAACTGTATATATTATCATATACTTATTGGCTATTTCAGTTCTTCCTTACATGGATTGCCTATTTATATCTCTTGCCCTTGTTTTGACAGTTCTCTGTGTGTTCTAGAGGTATTCCTTTATCTGTTATAAATGTTGCAAATACATTCTTCCTGTCTGTGGTTTATCTTTGACTTGCTTAACATTTAATATGTGGGTAACAAAAGATGACTTGAAGCTTTAAATTTTGATGTAGTTACATTTTGACTACCTCCCCACTTTTTGATTTATTTAAGATATTTCTGATTCCTTTTCTCATCACCATTATTAATCTAGGTTTTTAACGCATATATAATATATGATGAGGACTGGTGTGAGGTAGATCGCTAACTTCGGTTTCTTCACATCACTCATAGTGCTGACACTTTCACCACCTTGTTTGGATGCCCCAAAGATCTGTTATCTTTTAATACCTGTGGATTGCTGGGTTCTGATCTCCTACTTCATTTTTATCTCATTTATTTTCTGCTTTTCATACTTTCTTGTTCAACACATGTAACTCTTTTTGTTTATCCATAATCCTGTTATAGATTTAAATTTATACCTG